GGAAAAAAAATGTGCTTCGCCGTGGCTGCAACATATTTATGGGATGCTCGGACAGCGGTGCACGCCAAGACGGGACAAGCGTGACGCCCGGAGAAAATTAAACCCGCCAACGGGGGCCGATCGATAAGTCGAAAACCGAGGTGCACACTGGGTGCAATGCTGCACGACAGGATCCGTGCACACGGCGTGCAGTCGCGTTTGCAATCACTACGTCGAAGCTTGATTCCGTCTGTTCACGGCGTTTTCGTTTCTCGTCGCTGACGAAACGTTTTACTGGAAAGAGAACCGTCAGCCGGCTACGAGTAGGGAGTTACAGTTTGAAGCTGACGCACGAAATCGGACGATGAGCTTCCGTTCTGCACGAATTGATTTCCTGTCTGTTCCGCTATAATTTATTTACAGCAAACCGGCAATTAGGAGGGACGGTATTTTCCAGCCTTGCCATTCAGAACTTGATAAAAGTTTATTTCCAAACATGGAGCTTGATCAAAATGGCTAAACATTCTTCGCGTAACAGTGACTTAATGAAAGTTCACGGCGTTCTTATTAATGCACGTTCATTATTAAAACGAATCGGTTCCGAGAAATTCAACTATAACTTTAAAGTTAACTAATTGAACAAAATTAACCATGTTCTCTGTCTTCTGTGAACTGCTGGCCTTTTGCAACGAACATTTCCTCTCTATGATTATCGGTTAATTAGCCCAGCGAAACTCTACTTTGTTAAAACTCGAAAAACCAAGAGCAGTCAACCGTGTTACTGCGCTTCAAGCCTCGGAGCTTTTTCCATAACATCGTCGCCCTTTGCTCAGCCGGCTATGTCTTTCCTCTAGCTACCACTTTATTATTTTTATTTTGAAACTTTACCACCCCCTGTGTTTTCGTTTACAATAAAACATCCGAGAATGTTCGGCTGAAACTTTTGCACGCTCGCGGCCGGAGGTAAAGGGAAGAGGATCTCCAGGAAACTTCATAAAGCGGAAGCTGAAAGAGAAGTCGTGCTTCCTGAAACCGTTCGATGCCGGCGCGATATTTGACGAGCGCGCACTCGCCTTTCAACTTTACGACGCTATTTCGCGCTCAAATTCTTTCCTACTTTTTCTCGCGGAACGTATCGTGTACGTGAAAAAAATGGAAGAAACAGAATTAGAAGGGAAGTTCGCCGGAGATGAAGCGGAATTACGGTACGTATAAATTTCATGCCTCGCTGTTCTCCCTTGAAGCCTGAAACGACGACGATAAAGCGTTTTATTCGTTTATAAACAATTTTCATTTCTTCTGTTAGCGCGCCGCTCCAAAGTGCTTGAAAAACTAGATGCTTGTTAAATAAAGAGACCTTTACAACCGGTATGGCAGTTGGGTCACCATATTCCGTTACAGGCTTCGATTTTCGAGATGTCTGTTCTACAGAATGCACCGTCCTACAAATTATCCCGTAATTTAAATGAGAACGACCTGTCGCTGAATAAAACTGGCTGGCTGAATATTGTGACTTTAATTTTATCCATTGTCCAACGAAACAACGGAAAGGTGACTGCATCGACCCGGCCTTAACGAAGATTCGATGCAACCAGTGTGAAATACAGGCTCACTCAAAATAGGCACTAATTAATCCCCTCTCTCTTCTTATACAACTTCTCCAACTCTCAACTGTATATTCACTGCATTTTATTAACCTTACTTATTCATCTTAGTGTCAGAACCTTTTGACACTGAAATTTTTAAATAGATTTTTCATTTTTTTTTATGAAGTACTGACACGATGAAGATATCTCTATAGTGAATTAGAAAGTGAGTCAAGCTATAATTCTGTGAAAAGTAAAATAATGTGTGTTTTGAGAAGACCTGTATGAGGAGGATGTGTCAAGAGTGGAATACGCTCGCTGCACCGTGATAAGCAAGGTTACCGGAAATGTCGAGCTTCAATCTAACTCAGAGAACTGATTCGTGTTCTCTTCATCGTATTCGTCGACGCATGGAAATAACGTTTCAACGGTTACATTGTTATCGAGGGAATGCGGAAGTACATGGTGCAAAATTTCCCGGTGGCTCTGTTATTTTCTTTATGACAGCGAGATCGAGTATTTGGTCTTTAACTTCGGGAGCCCGGAGGCACACGGCGTGTTGAGCAAACAGTCGGTGTTTTCCTTTCTTCCGTTGGAAAACATGCATGGTTTGCTGCGGCAACACGGTGTAACCGGATTTCAAAATAGCCACAAGGGTCCACACCGTTGCTAATTATCACCGATAAAGGGACTTTACATTCGCAGAGATTATCGGAAGCTTCGTTAAACTTGTTAAGAATTGAAATTCGTGGGAGAAGTTGCGATTTATCATTTTAGGGAACGAGACGAAAAATGTTCGAGTAGAATAGGTCTTAATTAGCAGGTCGGAAAGTTTTCGAATTGGTTACCTGACAAAGTTCGAACAAGGGTCGACAATTATGTGAACTGTACCGCGAGGCAGAAGAAATTAGTTTGATATCGAATTTTAATGGCTTGTAAGACCGCGATGAGATTTTAGTCTACTAGCTTTTCCCATGATTTCCATCTCATTGGCTTTCTGTTCGGGAAGCCTTACTGGAAGATTCTTCGATGACTTTGCTTGTCGGGCAAAGAAAATCCTGCAGCGATAAAACAAAGGACAGGGAAACAATGGTAACTAATTTCAATGGGCCGTCAAATACGGCCGAACACTATTAATTACCGATAACAATTGTCCATTAATCTCGACGGTTTATTGAAATCAGGGTATAATACGATGCGTTCTCGATCGGTAAAAACTTTAATTAAAAGTTTACCGTGATGTTTGTTCGTATAGATTTCAACTAAGTTCTTTTTTAATAGTTTTCTAAAAATTCAATCTGAAAAACCGTTTCGAATAAAACGGCAGAGTATTATATTCGACACGAGAATATTTGACGAATAGTTTTATAGATATATAAACAGACAAAAAGTTCGTCGGGCAAATAAAATTTGACGAAGTCATGAAATTATAACGGAACGGTGATGCGTGAAAATCGAAACAGCACGGTTGACGTTCGAACAGGAATTGCATCGGAAATGGAATTCTCATTTAATGACGGCGTTTTATTATCCATTTTTATTTATCGTGCTAGATTACCTCGATGTTTTCGGAGCTGCACGATCGCTGGAACACGCGACAACATTTTTATTGCTTTGTTCTGGGATTATTGTTCTTCCTTCCTTCTGGAGGCTTTTCTCGCCGTGTAATCTAGTTCGCGTCGCACGGGAAGCGTTAAGTACGGAAGCTCGGCACGCAGCACCCGGAAAAGCCGTGAAAAATACCCGGGAAACGTCGAATGAAAATGTGGACGTAGCACGGAACTATTTTAGCGCATAAATGCTGAAAGAAAAGTGAAACAAGAATTTTCCATTAATTGCGGTAATTCTGCGTGTGTCGAAAATTTAATAACGTTTCTACGTTTTGTCAGCGGAACGTCGAACCATCGATATCCATCGAAAATGGCGGATAGGAACATCAATACGACGGGGATTGCTTCAGGCAACACTTTTGTCACGTGTCCCGTTATAATGGTATAGATGACAAGATGATACAATGTATTCCGAAAACGGAATTATTGCGCCGTTGATGACAACGTGAACGTACACGTGCACGAGACGTATTGTCGTCAGAAGGTATTGTATGCAAACGCAATTAAGTGCGTCTCATTCAATCCTGCGGATCGATTTGCCACGTTTAGCGTCGCGTGCAGTTGATGAACGGTATTTAAACAGCGTCCGGCCTTTCTTCGACTTTATCCGAGATTAAAAGCTCGCGTGGTGCTTTTGTTTCTAGACGCTTAAGTCGTTGCTGCGACACGCGACAAATTACTATTTTCTCGATGACAACGTACTCTTGTAAAAACATATTTAAAACCAAAATCAAATGAAACTTATCAAATATCATTAAAGACTTAGACAGCAGTGAATACTGTATACTTAATGAAGTTGAATTTTCGAAGGTGGAGGAGTAAGACGGTCGCTGATGCAAGCAAACAAGATGGCCGCAGCGAGACATTTTCCTTAAGACTCGGTTGTATTCTTCGATGTTTAAGTTGGAACACATGACTTACTAATACTTTCTCGATGACAAGGTACTCTTGTAAAAACGTATTTAAAATCAAACGAAACTTATCAAATATTAAGGAGAGTGTCTCGCGGCGGCCATCTTGTTTACATCAGTGTCACTCCTGCACCTTCGAAAATTCGACTTTATTAAGTATTTATTGCTGTCTAAAGACAACTGAGCACCCTGTTATGAAGTCTATTAATGAATACTGCATAAAAACTTAATAAAGTCAAATTTTCGAAGATGCAGAGACGCTGATGTAAAGAAACAAGATGGCCGCAGAGAGACACTCTAAGACTCGGTTGTATTCTCCTACTAAAAAATGTATAAAACGTACTAAATTTGTGAGAAGGTATTAAAAACGCTTATCAAATATCATTAAGTCAGCTTAAGACTCGGTATCGACATGTATCGATCGCACGATAAAGCGATCGTATCTCAAGTCTGGGGCTCATTAATTCCCGAAAGCGTTCGATCGATTTGCACGTGAAGCCATCGCGACGTGGTGCTGTGTTTCTGCTAAGCCTGGATATGTAATCACAGGGGAGATGCATACGTCCCTGACGATCGGTCTGTCAATCAGTAAACGTCACTCCCGTTAAAAACATCGGTCGCCGTGAAATCGCGCCACTGTTCGTTGGCCCTCGCCCATCGGTTTTCGATTCGGGTTACGAATCTCCGCGATAGTATGTTCTCGCCGCTAAGCGGGCAAGTAATTTGGAACGGATAATATCCGACCTATTACAATGCGTTATACAACGAATTAAATTTGCACCGTAATGTACAGATTGCGATGGGAAAATGTAACTTCGAGGATTGTTCAAATAATTGTTTTAATAGATACAACAGAACGGTACATAACAATAACAACAATAAGTGATCTTTGGCAGGTGCAGACTGTACTCCATTTAATGGTGGTGTCCTCCGCTGTGGTCGTTTCCGTCGCTGTTATGGACGTGAGCAAAGAATCCGTGCTTTCCAGCGTGATACTTGACCGTCCTGACGTTGCCACCGGGTTCTTTCACCGTGTATTCACCCACCACTTCTTTACCTGAAAGGAAATAGCAACGTTTTGACAGTTACTTTCCTCAGAAGTTCGCGATTTAATTTTTTGTTCTTTTAACCCCTTCAGCTGTGAGCAATTTTTAATGTGCTTCAATTTAAAGTTTCAGGATCATTCAACATAAAGTAGAACATTTAAACTTTTGTCTTAAACTTAAACTTTCGTTGTAGTTCTGACTGATCTCATAAATTATACTGCAAGTGTTTCTTTAAATTTGGAATTTTATGTTTCTAGAAGATTGCAGTAGTAGAAGCTATCTAATAAAGTGGTCAAAGAATATTAATTACTTGGAGTTCCCGGTAATTTCAGAATTCTCGCCGATATATTTATAGGAAACATCTCACTGAAGAACTAATAAACGATTTTATGTTCGATTAACTGTAGTTTGCTTCATTTAATATCGGGTGAAACGAAGGAAAAATTATTTTCCGTTTGCCCGGAGGAAAAACAACCGAAGATTTCGTTCCTTTTAAAAAGGGGAAATTGAAATTTATGTAAACACCGATCAGATAACGAGAAGATCTTGCTAACGCTTCGACGTAGCAATCGATAACGCGAGTCAGAAATGAGTATCTCGCAGTGAAAATTGCGGTTACCCTGCGGCTAAATGAATATTTTAATCCTGTTCCCAGGTTCCATGGAGCAAACATTCGAACGAAATTACCATTAACGATACATATTTCTCTATCGGCCGATAATCCTGCCTGAGCTGTCGATTAATCTTTGACAGGATGATCGCTTTACGCCTTTGTTTCGTTATCGTTCAAAAACTCATCAAACATGTATTTCATAAAACCATTGATATTTCCATTTCAATGATGCTATAAATAAAAGTAGCGATTTCGTGTCACGAAGCTGAATATACACGAGCTTATAAGTTCATAATCTCAAGGCACTCCTGTAAAGTGTGGGCGAACAAATACTTTTGGGCGATAGTGTACGTAACTACAGGACGCAGCTTAAACACGCGAGCACAGTGTTTAGCGCATAGTAAATAGCATTCATAGTCGAAACACAGCTAGTTAGAGGATTAACATTGTAAAGTGAAAGGGGGTGGGGCTCGTCAGCAGCGTCACCGTATCGCGAATTATTTCCAAAGCAAATTTCCCTCCGCGAATAATTACTAAAGCCACGAGTGTTCCACATAGAGGTCGAATACGTTTCGAAATATCTGTTTCCCTCTAAATGGAAGACGCGTGATTTTCGTGTGAGCTCGCGCCACTTACCAAGCACTTATTAAATCAACGTGTCGCCCCGAAAACCAAGATCATCACGTAATTACTCCTCCTCGTATAATGTTACGATCTTATTAACTCTCGAGGGTCTGATTTAACCATCGCCAGCGATCTTAAAGGAGACGTCACATTGGAACCGCTAAGATTTATTCATTTCTTTGTTTAATTGTAAGATTCTTTCATCAAATTTTTATCTTACAAGGAAACACGTCGAAAATGTGAAAGATAGTTCTCAAGAAAATATTTGACACGTATTTTTATCCGCCATCTGAAGGGGTGAAAATAGTCCTCGAAGTTGGGGCTCGAATTTTTGAGAATATCTCCGGAATTAAAGAAGATAATTGCATTCTTTTTTTTGTAAATTGTTAGTTCTTAAATAGGGAATTTTCGTGCGTAAAAAAATTAGATAAACTTTATTTGTTTAAATTACTATGCGTGGAGTTCCACCGAGAGAGAATTATCACGCGTAGAGTTACGCCACGAGGGAACTACTACGCGTGGAGTTACAGCGAGAGGGAATTACCACGCGTGGAGTTCCACCGAGAGGGAATTACCACGCGTGGAGTTCCACCGAGAGAGAATTATCACGCGTGGAGTTACAGAGAGAGGGAATTATCACGCGTGGAGTTCCACCGAGAGGGAATTACTACGCGTGGAGTTCCACCGAGAGGGAATTACCACGCGTGGAGTTACAGCGAGAGGGAATTACCACGCGTGGAATTCCACCGAGAGAGAATTATCACGCGTGGAGTTACGCCACGAGGGAATTACTACGCGTGGAGTTACAGCGAGAGGGAATTACCACGCGTGGAATTCCACCGAGAGGGAATTACCACGCGTGGAATTCCACCGAGAGAGAATTATCACGCGTGGAGTTACGCCACGAGGGAATTACTATGCGTGGAGTTACAGCGAGAGGGAATTACCACGCGTGGAATTCCACTGCGAGGGAATTACTACGCGTGGAGTTCCACTGAGAGAGAATTATCACGCGTGGAGTTCCACCGAAAGGGAATTACCACGCGTAGAGTTCCACCGAGAGGGAATTACCACGCGTGGAGTTACACCACGAGGGAATTACCACGCGTCGAGTTCCACCGAGAGAGAATTATCACGCGTGGAGTTACAGCGAGAGGGAATTACCACGCGCGGAGTTCCACCGAGAGGGAAATATTTGCAATATTTTGTAATTTATAATTTTTGCACTAAATATTGATCTATTCTTTTGCAACTTCGTGTACTTAGACTATGGACAAAAATAGAGGATACGTGTTTCTGGAATTTGTTGTTTGTTGCAACGTTTATCACCACATGTTTCCTCATTAGTTTGCATCAAATGGGAAGTCTTTTTTTTTTAATATCGTGACTTTGAAAATCTTGATACTCATTTAATTACTACATGCGAGCCCTCGAAGTTTTCGAAATGCGAGTATCATTAAAGCAGAACACCGTCTGGCTGTAATTAGGCCGATTACGTAGAAGAAACCGTCGGATTCATGACGCGCCCTTAACTTCAAAAGGGTACGCGAAGCTTTCTCGAATTACTGTAAACTAATTAAAAAGACGCAGGGGAAAAAGATTCGAAAAGGCTCGAGCTCGAGCTTCCTCGATGCTTCGAGGTGTTTCATTCCGTATTCCAGCCACGATATTACGAAATCCTCCGCGAACAAAGATCACCGTGCCACTTTTTATTCTCGCAATCAGTTCTCTCCTCCTGCTTGCCATACATTTGTCAGTTCTTTCCCCGTGACGTTTGCATCGCGATTTCGCTGACGTAACTGGGTTATTCTTGCTCTTCGTACTTACATATCTTACGCGCGAGATAGTGTGACTCGACTTTTGTCCCAGAAACAGAGATTAATTCTCTTCCGAAACTTAAGCGGGACTTACCGTCTCTGTGCTCCTTTTGGCCGTGATAGTCGCCGGTATGGTGATCCTCGACGCCGTAGGAGAACTCGTAGTGAGGATGAGCGACGTAATCGTGATCATGGTGTCCATGCTTGTCCTTCCACGACACCTCTTGTCCTTCGCCCGTCACTGGCCCGTGAAAATGTTGGAAAGAATGCGCGTGGCCATTGCCGCTGACTTTCGAGTCGAAGAGAATCGAAAGCAACAGGATAGACACGATCAGCTGTAACTTCCATGTAATGAACTAGGATATTTATCGAAATAGGTGAAATTATTTCCGATCGGTTTTGTTCGAGGAAAAAATAATTTGAACTACGAGGAACGCAACGTTTCCATCTTGAAAAGAATTTCCAATTTACGGAGTGATTAAACAATGTCACGGGGAATCGATGGTATTCCCGATAGACCGGGATGGGACGATTCTGTTAGAGAGCGAGCGCGCAGACTGATAATTAAATGGTACGAAACGGTTGATCGATCGCGTCGCTTCAAAACTCCTCGACCACCTATCTCATGGACCGAGAAAAATGAGGAATGGTCAATCGCGTGATGTACACTCACTTTAAAGGCCATACCGTCCATTCGCTATCAGGAAAAAGGAACGTTGCTAAGCGGAATACTCCGAAAACTGAACCGCACTGTCCGTCGGTATTGTTCCTTTTATAGGTCCACTTAAAAAGTTTCCCTCTGCTTAATTCTTCTTTGGATTCATGCCCGGAACTTGGCCGGCGCGGACGTTGCAAAACACAATTATTCAAGCGGGCCGATGTGGCAAAAAGCGTCACCGAGCGGTGCTCGCTCGAGCGCGCATTAGTCAATCCTGGATCTCTAATGGACCCACGTTGGGAAAGGGGACGACAAAAATGGAACGCGGAGAACGTTGGTTTCTTCGTTACAGTGACACACGCGTATCGATCACGCTATCGTCGGCTATCGTCACGCACGATAGATCCGACAGATTGCGTTACGAGTTTTCACTCTCTTCCTGGAGCCACAATCTCGATACGTTTGTTAGAAACTGTTTTGACGCACGATTACCCTTTGTGACCACAATATAATGCATTGCGATTTACCTATCGTCCTTTCTCCACGCGTGGTAATTTCCTGTCGGTGTAACTCCACGCGCGGTACTTCCTTCTCGGTGGAACTCCACGCGTGGTAATTCCCTCGTGGTGTAACTCCACGCGCGGTACTTCCTTCTTGGTGTAATTCCACGCGTAGTAATTCCCTCGTGGTGTAACTCCACGCGTGGTAATTCCCTCGTGGTGTAATTCCACGCGTGGTAATTCCCTCTTGCTGTAACTCCACGCGTGGTAATTCCATCTCGGTGGAACTCCACGCGTGGTAATTCCCTCTCGGTGGAACTCCACGCGTGGTAATTCCATCTTGGTGGAACTCCACGCGTGGTAATTCTATCTCGGTGGAACTCCACGCGTAGTAATTCCCTCGTGGTGTAACTCCACGCGTGGTAATTCCCTCTCGGTGGAACTCCACGCGTGGTAATTCCCTCTCGGTGGAACTCCACGCGTGAAAATTCCCCCTCGGTGGAACTCCACGCGTGATAGTTCCCTCTCGGTGGAACTCCACGCGTGGTAATTCCCTCTCGCTGTAACTCCACGCGTGATAATTCTCTCTCGGTGGAATTCCACGCGTGATAATTCTCTCTCGCTGTAACTCCACGCATAGTAATTCCCTCTCCGTGGAACTCCACGCGTGGTAATTTCCTCCCGTCGTTCCTCGCGCAATCCATGCTTTCCACGTCGTTTAACTTCTGTACTTAAACTTGTTAGCCAAAGTCTTCAATACCCATTTGCTAATTCTACCACATGTTTTAATAAAATTTGTAATCTAAAGTGGTAAGAAATATTTGAAGAAATGTAATTTAACAAAAAGCTCGTCCAGTCAAATTCTGAAGACCATCCATTTTGGAGTGTATATTGAACCCGATATGTCTTGTCCAGCATTTTGTACGCTTTCAGAAGCAACTCGTCGGTATTAAATTCGTGAAATTCGTGGACATGTATAAGAAGTTTGGTGTACGGTCGATTGGCAGAGACGAAGAAATAAGTATAGCAAAAAGCAAGCGAGATATTCGATTACCACGAGTGGGTCCCACACGTTATTAACAAAAAAGTGCGGGGATACGTCGCGAAGTGAAACGATCTTGGTGGCCAGAGCAGACGAAAAGAGGATGGATTCTGGCACACGATGTGCTGGAACGGCGGAAGTGCTCGAAGAGGCGCTCCGCTTTTGAGTTATGACACTTTTTGAGTCGAGGAGTCGCATTGTGAACGGCGCATCCGGGTCCAGCGTAATATCCTAGCTCGATCTCAGGGCTGGCGATAAATCTGCCTTTAAATAAGATTTGCTGGCGACACTCTAGCGAAATAAAAGGAACGGAACGGGAGCGAAAGGGTCGTGCAAGGGCGGTTTATTTCTCGGCGATTTCATTCCGCGCTCACGCGACTGATTAGTAATTTTCGTTTTACGACTTAATGGAGTTGCCGCGTTTAATGAAATACCCGTATCCTTTGAAGCTGTTCAATCATTTCCCTGGCTCGTTTAATCGCGGAATTTTCAGTTCGCGCGTTTGTCCAGCTAGAGCTGTAAACGATGCCTAATTAACAATTTTAATTTCAAAATGCTCGCCGCGGTTACTTTGATGCTCTTTTACAGTCGCGAATGTGGGCTTGGAAAACTCGATGAAGCAAAAAGATCTTAACGAACGTTTGCGAATGAACTTTTTTTCAGCTTATCAGGTCACGAGGTAATTAAAACGTTCTCAAGCCAGTCAACTCGTTATTTAATATCTCGTACTAATATTTCTCTTGCGATAATCGTAAATTCAACAATGCGATACAAATGTTTACCGACAACTACGTAAATACCACAATATTACCGCGTGGGAATTATAATTTTTGGTGCAAATACGATTGAGTACCGAGCAAGGATGGGTAAATATTTATTAGAATTGAATAGCTTGCTACCGCGCTGTTGCAACTGCTTTTGATAATCATAACATCCGGTAATGTAAGCGGAAAACTAACGAGTAAATTACGCTCGTACCAGAGTGTTTATTCCCGTAATATAAAATGAAATACTTCAAACAGTGAAGTATGTGGGCAATGCATATAGACACGCAAGTATTTCGAGCAATTAATTTAATGAATCCTATCAACCAACTACGCTTCTACCCCATAATTTGGTAACAGCCTGTATAGAAAGCGATGCGAGTCAAGCACAGCATACGTGTTTCTGAATTTCTGTCGTATGCCTAGACATCTAATGTAGAATCGTGTTTAGATTCGTGTCCCTTGAGACTAACTCTTGAAACGTAACTTCTCCCGCTTGCAAATGACGCGAATTCGTACACGTTAGACGATAAATCACGATATTTCAATTTACGCTGTTGCAAGCTCCTGCAACAACTTCAGCCGCCCCTTCATTACCATTCATCGTATACAAAATTAAATAGCAATTTCTGTAATCTTTCGAATACTCTGCATTCGACGTTTTAATTAAACAAAGTTTCGTCGATTTCTTTCGCGACCACTCTGAAAGAGTCAATATTAATTAACGTCTAAAATCGATCCGAATCGAGGTACTCACGAAACTTCTCCATCGCAGGAAGCAATCAACGATTCTCCGTTCCAACGATTCGCGCGATCAACGTCGAACCAAAGAAAGAACCAAAGAGACCATTTCGCAGACTCTTTGCGTTCGAGTTCTTTGTTGCGCGAACGCAAGGCGTAACACGGGACTAAAATATGCTAGGAGTAGCACAATCGGATACGAAAGGGAATGAGAGCAATGTGGATACCTACTTGCGGAGCATGCGAGCGGAAGCGAGAGGTCCTGTGTATGTCAATGATTCCCAGGCAATATCGCGATACGAGCAGATGAAAGGGAAGAAGACCAAAATCCGACGGGCAAATCCCGAGATTAACGCTCGTCCTTGTAACTGTGCTCGTTCTTTCAATCGATATTAAATCAGAATTTGTGTGCCGCATGCTCTCGCGTATTAAACAACTTTTCCAAGAGAAACGATCCGTCTGTAACATGGAAGCTATTGGGATCACATGTCTGCAGATAAGTCTCGTACGACATTTTCAAGACGTTGATTTAAGTCGGTAAACAAGGGACTGCATCCTTATCTTGCTGGCAGGTTTGACAAAATAAATTGTGAACATTGCCCTACTGAAGGTTCCTCGGCGCCTTGATGAGACTCCCAGAAAAACTCCCTTACGAGTTTGTGCAAGAAAAAATAAAGCAATTTGAAAGACTAGCAAAAATACAAGCGTTAAATCAGCGATTTAGAGGTCCAAAATTGTGCTGACATTTGACCTGTAGTCTACGCTAGAGCCCGTAGCAAGAAACCCTCTGCGAGATGACTATGTCCCAAGTATCCCCGGAACAAATTCCAAGGAGATAGTTTCAGCCAGATAAAGACGAATAGTTCTGTTTGCCCGCGAATTTCAAGGTGTACCCATCCCCGGTGCTCCGTCCTTCACGTTCTTCCCGTCTCTGCTTCTTTTGGTCTCTGTTCGCCCAGGAACGCGGCATATCCACCGCCATCTCGCTTCCCAGGGCGTCGACGACCGTTTCACGTTTATAGGTCACGATCCACCCACGCTTCGGGGATGGAGGACGACGACTCGCTATCCAGGATTACTTCTTGACCTCCATGTGCAGTTTGGGATCTCGAAACAACAACTACCCCGCTACGACTTTTGTTTCGATATGGGTAGGTTCATCCGAAACCCAACCAAACGCTTTATTTCCATAGCGGTTTCGAAATTAGCAACCTCGTTACCCTCGCAATTCCATAACGTTCCCGATTTCGTATCAGAAGGCTCCACGAAAGGCAAACACGAAGCAATTAAGTCCTAACGGCACGAGCCGGATAACGACGAAGATACGGTGCCTCCAAAAAGAAAAGCCAGGTTCGTGACCTCTCGTGGATCCTGCTGAAACCAATGTTTACAGCGTACGATAATCCGAGTTGGATATCCGTAACTTCAGCGCTGGCATGAAAACCAATTAACCCGACGGCACCGGTGACCCAGGCGCCGGCTATCACGCTGTAATCGGGACACTTGGAAAATTAGCAAGCACCCGGAAAATGCTTCGGCTCGTTAGCGAGGCCGAAACCAGCAGAACGGGAAGAAATCTGTAAACCATATCCACCGAGACGCTGGAAACCATCCAGCTTTGCAATTACGTTCAAGTTCGCGCCAGATTTTCCAATCGTAAGTTACACAGGATCGATGGAGGCCGAATTTTCGAAATTAAAGCTTGCATTCAACAGACATAGAACATCTAAAACTCTGCTGAAGACTAGAGGCTAACTTGCTCAAACTCAGTGATGTCAATAGTGAACACATGACCTGCAATTTTACTCAGAATTTATTTCTTGAATGAATAGAAAATGTAGAACTTTGGTAAAGCTAGACTAGAGGTAGTGTAAGTTACTCAAACTTAGTGCTGTCAAGAGTAAACACATAACCTGCAATTTTACTTAGAATTTACTTCATGAATGAATAGAAAATCTAAAACTCTATTAAAGCTAGAAGTTAAGTGGTGTAAGTAGCTCAAACTCAGTGCTCTCAAAAGTGAACACATGACCTGCAATTTTACTCAGAATTTATTTCTTGAATGAATAGAAAATGTAGCACTCTGTTAAAGCTAGACTAGAGGTGGTGTAAGTTGCTCAAACTTAGTGCTGTCAAGAGTGAACACATAACCTGCAATTTTACTTAGAATTTACTTCATGAATGAATAGAAAATTTTAAACTCTGTTGAAGCTAGAGGTTAAGTGGTGTAAGTAGCTCAAACTCAGTGCTCTCAAAAGTGAACATATAACCTGCAATTTTACTCAGAATTTACTTCATGAATGAATAGAAAATCTAAAACTCTATTAAAGCTAGACTAGAGGTAGTGTAAGTTACTCAAACTTAGTGCTGTCAAGAGTAAACACATAACCTGCAATTTTACTTAGAATTTACTTCATGAATGAATAGAAAATTTTAAACTCTGTTGAAGCTAGAGGTTAAGTGGTGTAAGTAGCTCAAACTCAGTGCTCTCAAAAGTGAACATATAACCTGCAATTTTACTCAGAATTTACTTCATGAATGAATAGAAAATCTAAAACTCTATTAAAGCTAGAGGTTAAGTAGTATAAGTAGCTCAAACTCAGTGTTGTCAAGAGTGAACACATAACTAGCAATTTTACTCAGTATTTATTTCATGAACGAATAAGTAACTAACACTATTGAAGACGAAATTTGAATTTCAAAAATTGATTTAGGTAGCGTAAGTGCAAGTTTGGTCAGCGTTGGGTAGCAAGACACGTGAGCAGCCAACAATGTGTTAAGATTGTTCTTAGAAAGTTGTGCGATCGCGTGTAGCCACATGTCGGAAGGACAAACATTTTCGACTAATAGTAGTTATATCTAGCAGCGGTTATACAGGCACTTTCGTTGCCCCAGGCTGTCGGAGAAGGCGACCAGAGAGGCTGGATGGTCGTGTTCTGCGGCCGGTGCAAGTGGTCGCGGAGGTGGCGACCCAACGCTCCCCCAATTCATATGCAAATGCAAAAGCGGCGACCTCGGGGCATTGTTCGCCCTCCAGGGTGTTCCAGTGTCCCTGGGCTTGACTTACTACGCGAATTTCCGGAAAACTCTAACGGCACCGACCCCGTGTAATTGATACTCAGCCTCGTCGCCGACGCGGACAACCGTTCTTGCTTCTCTTCTGCATCCTTCTCTTCCGTTGCCCACCAAAAAAAAGAGGAAAAAGGAAGCAAACGTGGAGGGATTGAGATCGCCTTTGTCGTCTCGCCACCGCTATTGTCGCTCTCCTGCACCGTTTAATGGTTCTCCGGGTTCTCTTTGAAACGAGCATCTAACGGGTCTACGAGGGCTAAGAACGTCGCACAACGAACGCTAAGAGTCGCTTCAACGTCCAACGATTCGTTGATCGACCATCGCGACGATAACTTCAAGGTGTCGCTTTGTTCTCCGTTATCGTGCTACTCGATGCTTTCCAAATGTATCCAAGTTTCCAGGAAAAAAATTCGTGGGTCAGTGAGAAACTTTGGTCCATTGAAATCGGACGAACTTTCCGGTTTATAAAGCGAAAAGTTCCGGACACAATTTCATAGTAAAGCCCGTGGTTATCGCGTTGTCACTGTTTGCCTCGTAACGCACCCGGTGATATATAATGCAACTTTGATCGAAAAAGTTCTAGCTGCTCTTTTATGAAACACGGGAAAGTATGGAAGGACAAAAGGCCAGTCGTATAAAATCATGACTATTCGACGAATCACTCTTCGATTACAAATTAATTTTATTACTTATATTGCTTAATCGAATGCAGTCAGAAGATTAAATCCAGAAGTTTGAAAGAACAATCTCTGGAACTCGCAACGAAAGAAGTTTGCTCGGTGTCGAGTTTTATCAGCGAGTCTCCGAGTCTCGTGCTTGTAATAGCTTCATCATAGTAATTGCTCCACGACGCTGTGTAATTAGGGGTATTCCGTGTTCGGGACATGTCCCGAATCATTCTGTAATCGTTGCGTGCTCAAGGTTATTTTAGATCAGTATTTGCGAACGGATAACCCGACGTCTTGTTTCCACACAATTATATTTTCTTTCAGTTTGATCGACACTACACTTGCCATCTTCGGGAACGCGACGTTTTTCACATCGACGTTTTGACGTTTTCTGATACCGTAGGTTAGAAAGGGTTTCCAGGTATAAATAAGAGGATATCTACTATTCGATACTCGGTATTCTAGTCGCCTGGAGAGCTCTATTTTAAGCTCAGCCAGCGATATTTCATATCCGAAACTCAGCCATTTTCAGCTTCCAACTCGAAAATCTGCTGACACAGGTACGGAGCTACGGAGACTGTTATACTCTGCTATCTAAAATAAAGAGCATTATTTACTTGACTTACCAATGATCCCTGTGGACGCCGAGAATATCGTAAGTTTGTCCAACGCCTCGATTCTTCGATCCCCATCTGTCCCGATTCTCTCGTGATCAAAAGAGCTATTCTTGACAAATATTCCTTCGACATTTCCTTGCACTATCTTTAACCTCTTAATCGTTTCGTGGATTTTCTAGGTTTTAAGTTGCTCGTGAGATTTTGCAGGTGCGATGCGGGTAGAATGATTAATCAAACGCCAGACGAAAAGCTATCGTTCATAAATTATTCGAACGTTCTAAGCTTTTAACTTCGCTCAACTTCGAACCTTTTAACCTCCTTGCGTTGTTTTTACTTCGTCCAATTTTTTTTTTACGTTTTACATTAGCGGATCGAAAGTTTCCGGAACGAATTTTAATAGACGATTAGTTCACGCCGGACCACTCGCGGGGTTGTTTAAATTTCGCGGAGATTGAAAAATCCGGGAACGGAGGTACGTTACGAGTCCCGCTGGTCTTGTAACTATCGAACCCCTCCTTAAAACTCCTTCGAAGGATCGAGACTGTTGAAAGTCCTTCCTGCGAGACTGCTACGTGACCCAGCATTTAATTTTTGTTTCCTGCGACGGCCGATCAACGGAACGTTTTCAGAACCGTTTTCGTGGCAATAATTTTCCTGTCGTACGTGGCTGCAGATTTGAAGAATTTGGAGAATACGTGTTCCATGTTCTTTCTTTTTCTCACTCTTCTAGGTCTTGTAAGCCTCTATGTTAGTTCAGTGGTATTAATCTTGGTATTAGTCTTGATATTAATCTTATTGGGGGTGGATAGTTAAATAAAAAATTGAGTATCTTCGAAAATAAATGAATTTATTGAAGCAACTCGGTCTGCATGGTTCAAGAAGATTTTTTATTGTAGACTCAACACACAGATTTATATAAATTCTTGCTTGAGTAACAAACTGAGTTTCTTTGAAAATAAATGAATTTATTGAAGTAACTCGGTCTGCACGATTCAAGAAGATTTTTTATTCTAGACTCAACCCACAGATTTATATGAATTCTTGCTTGAGTAACAAACTGAGTATCTTTGAAAATAAATGAATTTATTGAAGCAACTCGGTCTGCACGGTTCAAGAAGATTTTTTATTAAAGACTCAACCCACAGATTTATATGAATTCTTGCTTGAGTAACAAACTGAGTATCTTTGAAAATAAATGAATTTATTGAAGCAACTCGGTCTGCACGGTCCAAGAAGTTTTTTTATTATAGACTCAACCCATACATTTATATAGACATTTATTTAAGCAAAAAGCTGAGTATCTTTAGAAATAAATGAATTTATAGAAGCGACTCAGTCTGCACACTTCAAGAACTTTTTTATTGCAGACCCAGAGATTTATTAATTAAAGTCCAACAAATCCACTCCATTATATCGATATAAAAAGGTGTAATGTGAGTGTTGGAATAATACGATTTTCGAGAGAGTATCAACAGGAGATTCAGTACATTCGAGTTCCTCCCAGGAGTCATAAGAACTTTGGAAAAACTGCGCAGGGACACGCGGATATGAAATCTATCTTCGGTCCGATAAAGTTCCAGACGAAGTCTCGTAATTTCATTCCCCATGGCCGGCGGATAAATCGA